AAAGGGGTCCATTGCACCACAATCTGACTCTAACTCAAGGGAGCTCTCCAGCTCTTCCCTCTCTGCCACCAGAGAGACAGAAGGGGGAAGGAGAAGGGGGGTACCCATCAGGGCTTCCCCAACCCTAGCTACAGCCACAGGCATCAACAATCATGTCAGGGATGTCAGTCTTGACAATGTTGCTGTTGCGATCGAAGTAGAGGACGGAGAGTGGCCGGTGTCGCGTGGGCACACAGCAAGAGTGCCCTGATGCCTGGATGTTGTTTGCTTTGACGAGGTTGAAGACGGCTGTGTGGAAAGAAGAGGCCATCCCAGGGCTGCCTGCCACATGTAGAGGGCACTGGCCCACACAGTAGTTTATTTGGTAGCCCTCAGGCTTAATGATCCAGTCGTTCCAACCGATGTCTCTGAAATCCACATAGTAGTCCTTGCGGCAGCAAAGGTTGGAGTTCTGGCTGCAGCGGAGGCTGCGCTTGGCCACATGGTGTCCTGGCTCCCGCACCTTTGCCTCAGCCACCAAGAAGGGCTGGTGGGACCGGCTGGGCCTTGCCAACCCCACGGCTTTCCAGTTCCAGCCGCAGGGTCCTGCGCTCTCCCCCAAAGAAACTCTGCAAGGCAGGCATGAGGGTGAAGGCACGCCAGCCGCTGCCCTTAGCGCTCAGTCGCCTCTCACTCAGCAACGTGCGATTGCCTCCCACCAAATCACCTTCCCCACCAGCAAGGAAGATTCTCAGGGTGAGGCTGGCTACCAGGTCTCGGGGAACTCGAAGGTAGAGCCAAAGCTGAGCCTGCAGGATGTGAATGTCCTGGTCTCGTGTACGGCTGAACTGGAACTGCAGCCCCAAGCCAGAGGGAGATGTGGGCTCTGATGGGAGAAAGGGATGAGGAGGTGAGTGCTGCAGGATGCTAGGGAAGGTAAGGCTGCACCACCATCCTGCACATCAAGGCCAATCTCTCTCAGCTTTTTCTCAGGAAAAACCCGCAGACTTCCCTCCACAGGGCCCTCAGTCCATCCCCCTCCCTTCCTTGGAAATGCAACCTGGAGGGGGCTTGGAACGGGGGACTGTCCCACCCTGCCTGGCAGAATGGGCACAGAAAAGGCGGTATGGGGCACCTGTTCTCACCTGGTGCTTTCCCTTTCCTGCACAGTGCAAGGCTAGAGAGTGTTTTCAGCCTCCCCACCCCCACCGCCCACCCCAAGTTGTCCTCACAGCTCCCAGGTTCAGCTACTGGGAGTACCAGGCACCCTGGGTTGCCCCCATTCTTCAGGAAGGGGACAGGATTTGCCACACTTCAGGTGTAGGGTCCCAACTGGCCAATGCAGGAGCAAAAGAGGGGCCATCTCTCTTTCTCCCAGGCTGAGCCCTCCTGCATCAGCAGCACGAGGAGGTCACCCGTACACAGCAGGTGCATTAACCAACACTTTAATCACAGCCTGCAGAGCTGTAGGCACCCTCACCCGGCTACAGAGGAGGCAGATGGCCAGAACTCAGGCCCCAGTGGTGCTGCAGCACCCCAGGGTTCAGGGGCTGCACATCCTTGTGGGTCCCCACCAGCCCAGGGCAGGGAAACCCTGCCCCAGGGTCTCCTGCAGTCTGGCTCCGGGCACAGCCCAGCTCACCCAGGCCCTGTCGAGGGCCCTCGGGGGCCACGTGGGCGACCACGGGGGTCGTGCCCCGCTGCCCACGGGCCCCACACACCCACCTGGCTCTGCAAAGCTGATGATCTCGT